AGCAAGGGAAGTGGTAAAAGCTTTGCTCAACCACATAATTCCAAGGTTTGGGATTCCTCTAAGAACATCATCAGATAGAGGGACACATTTCATTGCAACAATAGCGAAGGAGGTTTGTCACATCCTGGGAATTGTCTGGGACCTGCATACTTCCTACAGACCTCAGGCAAGCAGGAAAGTACAACGTATGAACGCTACTCTTAAAATGCAAATTGGTAAAATTTGTCAGGAAACATCCATGTCATGGGTTCAGGCTTTGCCTCTAGCTCTGCTCAGAATTCACATACAACCAAGGCGGAGAGATAATATAAGTCCTTATGAAATATTATATGGGAGATCATATCAAGCTCCGCACATTCCAGGGGACATTCACATGAGGGGGAAAGTTGATCTACGCAAGTCTTTAGTGGCTCTAGGCTCTACGTTACAGAAACTCCAGAGATTCATCGAGTTATCCAGACCCATAGGATTGGACACCCCTGCTCATCAATTCCAGCCTGGAGACCGGGTCTATGTTAAATGGTGGGACAGTAACCCATTGCAAGCCAAGTGGAGAGGACCATTTCAAGTCCTGCTGACTTCCCTCACTGCAGTTGAAATTGCTGGCAAAGGACACTGGTTTCATTACTCCAGAGTTAAGAAAGCTTCAGTTCCTGGAACTTCTAGCAAATCAGAGCCTGACACCGATGAAGAGGATGTAGCCTAGACTGTTTCTTCTCTATATGTTATCTGTAGAGTTGGTAACTATGATACGGGTTTAGAACCAAAATTTACATTTGGCTTTAGTAAAATGCACCCAATATTCTTCATGAAAGTGAGTGCTGGATCTGCACTATGGATTCCGCTAAAATTTGGCATCAAGTTTAAATCCTACATTGGGCAATTCCTGAAGATGTCTCATTAGGTTTACAGAGATATCTCCACAAACTTACTTCATGGTTACCAAGCTGGACCTGGCTAAAACAACTGTTTATATTAGTGATGTACATAGTTAGAGTTTGAATAATAGCTCATTGCATGACCTGATGCTGCAGATGTTGGTCATCCCTTTGGTATAATGCTAGGTGTAAGTGGTAGAGATTGGACAAGATTGAGTTTTGTCCATCTCTAAATGGGGGACTGATGCCTCAGAGCTTTTTTTTGATTTTTAAACTTTTATAGATTTTAGAGGTAGATGTGTAATGAATGTAGCTGTATTATATCCCTTACCCTGTAGCATAATGTTTACACATACCCAACCATATTATCCCATTTCATATCAATCCCTCTAAAATTCTGTTAGCTTGTTTGGTCTTCTTTTCAAGGTAGAATTGTAGAAAAACACCCTAAGGCCTGGACCAGAAGATATCACACAGACACAGCAACCTTGAAGCTCAGAACTTTGGAGGAACTCCAAGGACTGTGTGTGCTACGAAGAAGACAAGGATGAGAAGGAAGGGGTCCCAAATGCCCCCAGACCCAATTCCTGAAGGGGCATGTCAGGGAGCAGAACCTGGGCCTTATTATAAAATCATAGAACCACTGCCTGAGGGTGTGCGCGTGGTATGTATTCCCTGGGCCTTAGACCTGAGATTAAAGGACCTGGTCTCTTTATCTTATCTTATACACTAAATTGGCTGGAGTTTTTTTTCTCTGCGGTCTTTTAGGCAACACAAGCCTGCCACAAAAATCACTGGTAGGTAAGGTAGATTAAAAATCTTGCTGCAACGTGGTATGTTCATCACTACAGCTGAACAAAAGGGACAAATATACAGCTAATATGGAAGGCACATCTAGAAAGGGAGAAATGGACAGTGCTCCAGGCAAAACTTTGCCTTACCTGTATGATAAGAAGCACAGCAAGGTATAAATCACCTAATCATCACGTACATGTTTAAGCCACTCAGAGGAATAAATGCAAGTTTTCCCTGTCACACACTTCATTCATTACCTTTATAAGGCTCAGTAACCTTGCTACATAGAGGGGAAGGAAAATTCCATTCACGGTGTAATTCTGAGGTAATTCTTTCTTATCAGTGGCTTACAGACCACTGCTTAAATAACTTCCCAACAAATCAGTCATTTCTGGGAAACTAAGTATAATGTAACAACTTGGGTTAATCTTATGAAACTATTAGCTGATTTCACCTATTCACAGGCCTAAGTCATCACTGTAATCTGTGCCCAGATCGAACAACGTGCTTGTTCAAACCTTAAGTTTGCTCTTGAGTGGAAGCACTATGAAAACTAGTTCAAACAAGTTCACTTAGAAATTATTTGTCATCTTGAACATCACCTTAACTGTTAAATACAAGCCTGAGGTGTCACTCTCCAGATAACAGAGACTGTGTAATCAGACAAGACTAGTGAGGCATGTGGACCTTGTTCATGCAGTTACCCAAAGAATAAGACATGGTATCAATTCACACACAAGTCATACTGAATATACACATTTCTTGGGCAGCAAAAAAGTCCATTGGTGCCTTACAGTGGATGAAATAATTGTTTACTGTTTAACTGAGCACTATAGCAGTTTTTAGCTGACATTGCTCTCCAAAGGGTAACAACCACAGCAGGTCCGGCCCCTGAGCAGAACGGAGAACAGAACAGTTCCAGTTGGAAGGTACTCCAGCGATCATTTAGTCAAACTGCCTGACCAATTCACGGCTGACCAAAAGTTAAAGCCTGTAAAGGGTATTGTTCAAACCCCTCTGAGACACTGACAGGCACAGGATACTGTCCATCTCTCCAGGGAACATGTTCAGTGTGTGACTATCCTCACAGAAAAATAGTTCCTAAAAATTTCCAAACTTAAAGGCTGCAAGCAATGGTCTGGTTGTTGATGAGACAACAGGACTCCTTCCCAATTAGGGGTTAGGAAATCCTGGGGTCAAAGAAATCTGAATGTAAATGCCTCCAGAGATGAGTCTGGAGTATACAAAAAGAAAGTGTCTTTTGGAATTGAGACCTCCTTCCATGACCACACTCAGACACAGGATTACACCTAGATCCTCAATGATGAAGCCACGAAAACTGAACAGCTTGTCACCTGAACTGTGGACGATAAGCAGAATCTTCAGGGCTCACCTGAGGAACAGCTACGTTTTAAGCACAGGGAGTCTCTTGACGTTTTCTTTCTAACACTCTAAGGTACCTTTGGTGTACTGGTTCTTTAAAACTGGACAATTGTATACACTTAGAGACCTCAACACCCTAAATCCTACTCTGCAGATTATAACAAAGATAACACTGATGATAGTTTGGAGGCAGGCAACAGAGTGTCAAAGAACACTGTCATTAATGGACCTGTATTAACCAAAAATAAGTTTTTTTTTAAGGCAGCAGGACAGTAAGGAACATGTTTAGAACACAGCAGATCAAGAACAGTTAGAAAGACCATTTATAGCAACATGATTCTCCTAGAAGGGGAACAGAAGTAGGCCAGCTAATATGGTCTCCAAGAGCAACACTGTTCCTCCCCACTTCCTTTTCCAGCAGGAAGAAGAGGAAGAACAAAGAAAAAGTATTCTCAGTGGAGGACAACATGAAACATAAAGGGACCACCTTATATAAGAGAAGAACTCATTGTATACACAGAACCTACTGAAGGAGCGGAAATTAACTGCTCAGGTCAGTCAGAAAATCTATTTGGCAGATGTGACGTGTTGAACTTCATCATAGCAATGTTTTGTTTCTATTCTGGACTTCTTGAACAGAAATAAGACAGAGGAGGGAAATCTCAGACTGAGTGTACAAGAACTGCACACACACAGCAAACCCAACACTTAGGGGAGGCACCAAATTTATAGCGTATGTACAGACTAGATGAACACTAAAATCAACATTTTTATTACATGAAAAACAAAAATTTGAGGTTGCAGACTTACGGCAGATAGTTGGGAACTACTCCATTCACCCTTGTGGCCTAATGATAGGTGATAATTGTACATTCTTGTACTCAAAACATTTGTTGTCAGTTTAAAATCTGAAGGTTATAAAGTCTTGAGTACCCTCATGTAAGTAGCAAGCATGCCAGTGACTTGTAGTTGTAATTACTGAAGAAAAACTTCATTAGCAAAAGCAAAGTTTTATAACTGGAGGTAAAGATGCTGGTTTTCTCATCAATCAATTAGAAATTTAATCCACAGGTATTTTGCAAGGACTGGTCCAAGGTATCTGATTTCCAATTCTAATAAAGTTCAGATTGTCCAGAAAAAAGGAAAAACCACATCAGGGAAAAAAAATGGTATGCTAGAGTGAAAACTAAATGCACTGAAAATACTGATTAAGCAACAAGATCACAGACAGATTCTATGGTGGTTACAATTCACCTGTCAGATTGAGGTATACAATGAGAAATAATCCAAAAAACCCTAAAACAACTCACATGGTTTCCATTAAAGTGAAGTTACTCTTCTATTTTCTCTCACATGAGTGAAGTTGATTTCACCCTTCAAACTGTATTTATCAAACAAAAATTGTTTCTTCTCTAGAACACTGCTTAAATTAAAACATCGGTTAAATTAAGCACACTTCAAAAAACTCTCAAAATTTGCTGTTTGGAGAGTATATTAAGAACACTGTGCATTATTAGCAAAAACAGTGAACTGGAACTTAAAAAATGCCTAGGTGATGCTATAGATACTAATCTAAAAGTACAACTGATCAACTAAAACATGTCACTAAGATGTGATGCAAAAGCATTGAGTCAGCCATTGGCATTTAGAACTATCACTGCAACAGAACATAATTTACATACATATCCATACAAATCAACAAATAGTAAAAGCAAAGAAGCGATAGAGGTGGTTAGGGATGACTTCAGTGTTTTCTATAACACATCATGACCACCAAAGTCTGAATCTCATCCTTCCAGATGCTCTGCCTGAAGTTGTTCCTCTGTGAAAAGATATGACTCTCACTGATTGATTAATATTCAAAATAACATGTAAATCAAAGTGAAAGCTATGTGGAAAACATAAAATCAGAAAGAACAAGGTGTTGGTAAAGCAGCTGCTCACCATCAAGAGGTATTCCACCGCTCTGTCAGGGTTGTTGAAGCTGGCCCTCAGTGCCGCAATCACTTGCTCTCGTTCGTAGCCCATTGACATGATCTCAGTCACCATATTCTCATAAGACTGACCTGTCACTAGAAGTCACATGACCACCATTTTAGGGGAATAAGACAAAAAAAAAAATCACAAAAAAGTTTCAACAGATAAACCTCATTTCTACCCAAATTTGAGTCATTCACTAAAAAGTAAAGAGAAGCTCACATTAAACATGCCACGTGGCTTTAATTCCAAATATATTTTGTTATGAATTTGATTGGAAATAGGAGAAGGCAATGAACACAATGTAAACCTCTACTGACAAAAGCAGCACTTGTGATACTTCTGTACTTGTAATTGAAATAATGTTCTCTCTCCAAGTTTTCACCTAAGGTCAAGGGCATCCTCACAGCTAATAATTACTGATGTAATCAAGAAAAGCCTCCCGCAGCATAAAATTGGAAATCAAAACTTTTGAGGCAGAAACCTGCCTTTTAAACTGTTAGCCATTGGGGTCTTCCCAAATAAAGACTCTCTGCTATGCTATTGTTAGATTGATGACAAATAGTGATGACCAAGTTACAACTATACATTGCTACATGCTGGTGATGATGACCAAAGTAATCTAATCAACTTAACATGGACCAACTCAAGTCAGCCAGAAGATTTTAAAGTTGTATCTAGGAAAGCCACTCAAGACCTCAGTGAGACTAAGTTACCTAATTTAATTCATATCTCATTCAATTTATTATTTGACTAGACATCCATCACATCAAATCCGCCAACTCTTACACGGACAAAAACTGTCCCATACCTGCAGCCATTAAGACAAATGGGTACACACACTATACATGAGCAATTTAAGGGCAACTGATCACTACACTAATCTCACTGTAGGGAAGATTATTATCGCTTTTCATAATCCATTTAATTTTCCTTCCTTAAAAGAAAAAAACAAAACCAGACATTAAAATACTAATCTCCTTCCCCAGATAAAGGTATTCCTGATCTCAGTGGAATATTACTACTGACTGACTCCAACTAGCAAGTTAGTGGTAAGAGAGTAGAGTAAATAACAGTCATAAAAAACAACTGATTAATTAAAAAACACAGAAAACAAATACTGCTAGAGCTGTATTGTATCTGTTAATACAAGTAAGTCACCATTAAAAGAACCAACAAGTTTTATTCCCTTAGGGAGAGGGTGTTTAACTCAAGGCAACATTAACACAATGCCACTGCCTGGTTTTTAATAAATGCTTCTAAATAATCAGTGGATGTATGACTTAGGGTAGTATGCTCAAGAACAAATAATAAAAAAAGCCGTAGCCCATGGACACTTGTGCATTATCCATAAATAAAGGATTTACAACCCTTGATTAATCTGAGTATTTGTTATTTGGGCTTCAAAGTAATAGTGCCAACCTGAGTTTAAGGAATGGTAAGTTCATGTCTTCGTACAGAACTACAAGATCAATCACCTTACATCTACCTTCATTTTTTCAGATATTAAAAAAAAACTGACACCAAACCCCCAAAAAACCCTATCATCTAAACTTTGACCTAGAGATGCAAAAAAAGCTCAGCCAACAATTACTCCAACACAATGATTCTGCTAAACTTCTGCTCATGTTCTTTCTTATGCAGCACTAGTTTGTTTACCCTTACTATTGCTAACAAACTAATCAAGCAGACAGAAAAGCAACAGCAGACAGAACACCTGTTGATATAGTTAAGACGCTTCTGTAGGGCTTTTTCAATATAAGCTAGGTAGAGACCAGAACCAGTATAAGAGATTTGATACAGGAAAAAAAGATGCAAAAAGGCTGACTTGCTCTGCACAGACTGCTACATAAGCCACAATTAAAAGCCAAAGGAGGAAACAGAATTACTGCAAATTTAGGCATGTGTACTCCATATACATGCTACTTACACAAGCTGGGCAAAAGTAAGATGAAGAATAATAATTCAGAAGTTGCACACCAGCAGTGTCATGATAGAGAGTCAGGCCTATCTCTACACAGTGCTACTGGAAATGTTTGAGGTCAATGCTGAACTGATTCTGCTCCTTGCTTTTGTCTTTCAAATAACATTTTAAAGCTGGATTAACTCTCAAATCCAGTTCATCACACTCCCCACAATAATTCTTGTCCCATGCCCTAAAGAAAGCTCAGGCTGCTCCAGTGAAAGATATAGTTGCACAAGAACTGCAAGACATATAAATCTTTACATATCATAGAAAGCCACATCAGTTTTCAGAATCTAAACAAAAGCAAATCAGTAGAAAGTAATCCCTGTTTTCAAAACGAAGTCAATTAACTTCAGACAATGTAATCGAGAAGCCACAGTTAGAATATGTCTAGGATCCAACTTTGGATGTGAAAACATACTACATGAATTTATGCATATTCCTTTTAGGACAGTTTCTGAAGAAAAAGGATGACACAGTTCATGCCTATTGCCTTTGAAAATTTTTTGGCCTGTAACACTACCAGCTTGCTTACCCAGGAAATTACACTCAATGCCTGTTATTTCCAAACTGTCAGGGACACAAGGCTTTACAACCAGACAACAATCACAGAACTTCCACGTAAACTAGATAGTGAGGCAACACTCTTGATATGGGATTCATTTTTTTTAAATTCTGACAAGAACTGAATCAAGACTACCACCTTAATTTAACTTGTTGATCAATACTGTTAATATGAGTATTTGTGATGACCACACTTTGGCCACCAAGGTAAAACAAATGGTTAATGAGGCACGCACCTTTGGTAGCAGCAGTCACTTAAAAAATGTAACAACTCAACTGGTTGTCTCCTACAGTATCTATCAGCTATTTCAGCTCTAAAACAACATGTCACACTTAAGACCTAAGCTGCAGTTAGACAGACTAAACCTAGTGACTATCACTAATAGACATAAAACATTACTACTGACCTAGATCACTCTGGGCTGCTTAATCACAATACCTGCATTCAATATACCCACACAGCCCTACATAAAAATGTAAGTGAAACTCTTTTCTTAGTTTAACTTTTTGTACCAAATTGCAGCTTCATATTTACAGACATAAGATAAAACAAACAAAAAAAAGACACCTCCTCCTTATTTCTGTGCCTTAATTTGCTACACTCTAAAACAACCCGAAAATTTAAGTAGGAGTAAGGAGTTGTGGGTTTGCCTAAATTTCCTAGCAACCAGAATCATCATGAATGAGGGGCAGACCTTCCTATTGCTTTTATTCTGTCTGTTCTACTGAGAAATAAGGATGTTTAAACTGTCAAAATAAAAGTGAATTAACTGTAGGTACAGGGAGGCATCTATTCCTTAGCTCAGACAGCAGCAGATCTAGTGAATTTATCTAATCTAAATGTGTCAAAAGATAAAGTACTTTCAAAGGTGGAACAAGTGAATTATAAAGGCAGCCATTTTATCCAACCTGCACTCTGGGGAGCAAAAGTGCAAAGCATATAGGTATTTACATGTAGTCCTCTATTCAAGCCACTTCAAAGTGAATAGTTAGAAGAGAAATTAAGGCAAATGGGGGAAAAAGCAGGGATGATAAGGATCTTCCTTTTACACAATAAAAATATATGGAGGGAAGTATTCTTCAGTAAAGAAGCTCTTGAAGCTGGTTCCAAGATAGCAACTTCAGGTCTTAGGGAAGGGTACTTTAATTATAATTTTAACAATGACAGATATAGAAGAAAATGTCAACATATGCTAATCTGTCATGCCTCTGTTGCACCAAAATAATGTCTACATTAAAAAAAACATTCCACTTACCAAGTGCACTTATAGCATCCTCAAAAAGATTTGATCGAGATGTATCACCTGTTGGACTGTAAGATGAAGACAAGTGCAATGGTAATTACAAAACTGTTGAAAATTTCCTGTTTAAAAAAAAAAAAAGCAGCAGCAGCTGTAACTCTAATAGCCTCTTTGTTTCTAAAAAACCAAAGCTTTCCAAAGAGCTCTCTTTTGGTCCTATAGTGAGACCAGATTTTACTAACTTACAATGCTACCATTTTTAACACAAGGCCAACCTCCCCCCTGCTACCCCTAGTAGTTTGGCTCTTGCCCATCTGCTCAGGGATTAGCCATCTGCTTTCTTGAATGCTTTAAAGGGTGGGAGAACAAGGTGGATTTTCAAAAGCACACAGCAGTCTCACTAACTGCTTCCCCACAGTCACCGGTCTGACCTCCAAGTGGGTCAGTGCCAAGCACTTATTAAAATCTCAGTATCCTGCTTTCCTAGGAATACAAACTGCTAACATTTGCAATTACTCCATCTCAGGTTATCAAAGCTGTTAAATTACAAGGCTCACCTTCATCAACAGCAAGGAACACAGAGGCCACACCAGTAGGCAGAAGAATCCCAGTTAACTCAGTCAGAGCCAAGGGTGCCCTTTTCCTGACTTGTCCCAGGGCTGCAAACTTAAAGCGTCAGCCCCTTGGTCTCAGGGCAATACCCCTGATGGGTCAACAGGACTCCTTCGAGGGCAGTATTGCCTACAGGGTAGTGCAACTCACCATGGGGTGCCGGGAAAAAGAGACTGTGTGAGATTTACTAAGGGAAATCTAGGGTAAAAACCAAAGGTAGGGAAAGGAAAGCATCAAGGCACCCTGCAGATGAAAAGCATGGGTCAAGAGAGTTAAAAAAAAAAAAACAAAAGAGAAAAAGGCCCAATTCATATATAAACATGCTTGCCTGGTCGTGGCCTGAACCTCATCCCCAGTCCGTCCTCTTTCCTTATTAAATTCCATTTCTAACAATTTTTTCCGATGGGGATGCTGGTCAAAGGGAATCTGAGTATGAGGGCCTGCAACAGCCTTGCAGGGCTCAAGGCAATCACGTGCCCAGGTGCCAAAACCGTAGCAAACTCCAGGGGCCTGCTAGCAAAACAGTCTAAGGCCAGCTGCTGGAGAAATTAATATTGTTCACTTTTATGTTAATACATATGTATCTTGCAGGAGTGGGTTTTGCCCTAAAATAGCCAGAGGGGAACAGGATGAAGCTGCTGGTGTTGTATCTTACTTGAGTGATGGTCTTTTTCCTGCCTGAGTTGACCTAAGCAGCCAGCCATATATACAGGAATATACATGTTGTGTGTGTATTTTGGAAATTCATATTCAGCCTTGATATGTGGTAGAGTTGGGGACATGGAGCTGCACCAGCTTCACTTTTATCAGGCTACTAGAGCTGGCAACTCCTATCAGCAAGTGAAAGATCATCAGATTAATCTGAATCAGTTTTCAGAAGATGCCACTTAAAAAAAAAAAAAAATCTAACAAGTCATTTAAGAGATCCATGTTTGTATGCAATAAAAAAATTTGTTCCAACAAGAATGCTTCAATAGCATCTGTCAGTAGTGAGATTAACAACCAAAAAAGATCAAAGGCAAAACAGGACACCAGCTTGCCTGGCCATGGCTCAATAAATCTTCACCAGCCTTAGTTATTTGACTTCTAAAGCAAATCAGAAACAAGCAGTACTCACTGAAATCAAGGCAGGTGATAATCTTAATACATGTATTAAATTATTTTTTTGATTCCTGTTAAGTACACTGAGGCTCCCTTATTGCAGTTTAAAACACTGCAATCCGTACATGGAAAACATTATTTTGGTATCAAAGATTAATCTTTGAACCCACTGGACTAACTGAGCAGAAAAAAATGAGAAGAAACTCACCTATTAAAATTTTTAAAAAATTAGGTTGACTGATAAATGCAGCTTCATTTGTGTTCCATTTCTAAGAGATATCCACTTATCATAATTGCAAAATTAAATAACCAATTGGAGTATTTAGTGCAAAAAACTTATGATGACATTTTCAAGATAAAAACAATTGCAAGTTTTGCTTCCTTGTCAAATCAAGGTTTAAATACCAACTGATGTGTTTAAATACAACCACTTCAAGAATTAATGTCTTATGCACCAGTAGTCACATAAATAACACACTAATAATTAAAAAACAGTGTATGAAAAATGAAGATTTGATGCTATTCAGCACTTCAAGGGCCATGAAATTCCAGTTAGCATGTTTATCCCACGCAATACTTAAGCAACTTAAAGTATGCAGTGGCCTTTTTTTTGCTCACAACAGGAATGAAACCTGTAACTTAACTTCCATTTGATTTTCTTGAATGTAGTGAATTGTGGTTAAAAGTTATTCCAATTCCCACGACTATCTGCAGATGGGCCAAAAATAAACTTGTAGCTTTAAGGCATTATATGATTAAAGAGCAATACCATAGCCTACATTTTGGAAGAAAAAGCTCTCTCCAGAAATTAAGAAACTCATAGAGCAATAAGGAAGTTATGGTTCAAATCTAGCCAACATGATTCAAAACACAGAGGTTTATGAACAGGACAGGACACATTCCTCTTATGACTTTAAGAGCTTCGTGAACATTATATTCCCACACAGGTGAATATCCTCAGTCTGAAAAGAAACTTGTGTGATAGTAACTCTGAAATGCCTAATGGGAGCAGAAGTCCTGTGCCATTTAGCTCTCCACTCCACGGGTTTATTCCCAAGACCACACTTCCCACAGGAGAAGGTGTAAGCAGGGAGGGGTGCTTCTTAGGATTGATCAGTAATGTTATACTTGAGTCAGAGACTGAAATTACAGTCAAGAAAGAAGAAAAATTATGTAGATTTGAGAGAATGACTAGAGTAACACTGTAATGGAAACTTCAAATCAAAACTAGAAGCAGCAGAAATGGACAGGCAACTCACTTTTGGAGGCTCATTCATACCTGTCAGTTGATGATGGACTAACAGCAGCTGCTGCCTCAGGTGGTTTTTCTTCTGACTTCTCTTCTCGAGGGGCACTCACAGGTGCAGATTCACAGACAGCCTCATCTGGTGCTGGTGGTGGAAAGACAGGGGCTGGCACAGGGGCAGGAGCAGGGGCTGGTGTGGGAGCTGCAGTTGTTGAGCCAACAGTGGAGGTGGCATTTGATTGCTGAGTGACTCCAGTTGCTGCTTTGGGCTACAGGAGGAAAATAGAGTTCAGACACAGCACAAAACTCCCAAACCCCCGCTCTCTGCAAGCAACACACTGATTAGGTTCTGTTAAGACCATCTGTGTTTGATATTGCTGCCTTGACATCAAGCATAACATTAAAACATTGCAGGACATTAAATCTGTAATGCAATTTAAACAAAATTTCATTGGTAAGTATCTGGGAGCATCACTGAAGTACTTATTTAGACACCTAAGCATTCACACTCTGAGTATAAAGTGAAATGCAAAGATAAGATCTAAATATTTATAGACCACAATACTCTGCATGTGAAAACAATCTTGTGTTTTACAAAAGCACATTTTCAAGAAGAAACCAAAAGCGTTGTCAAAAAACATCTGACAGGTGTAACAAGCATAAGGTTTTCTCACCACTCAGGTTTGGAAAAAAGTGATAAAGAGAGAAATCATATTTCATTATGAATGCTGTTTGATGGAAAATGAGATTAAAAAACCCCAAAACTTCACCTGTAAAAAGTTTTAGTTATGCAATCTTTACATTCAAAGCACTACAATAAATAACATTTCACATACTTCAGAAAAGTTCTGTAGTGAGCAGCAAGGATACAGCAGAATCACAGACCACCAAATCCACAGCAACAAATTTAGAGCAGTTAATACTTGTATGCAATTGTGATTCAATCTTCACATCTCTAATGGAAACATGAATTTTGCTTGGACGCAGTATTAATCCCATTATTCAGAAATTCAGCTCTTGACAATGTATGTCACTTCCAGATAAGGTATGGAAATATGTTTTCAAAAACCATATCACTGTAGTCCCTTACTTGTGAATATCCCTAAGAGCTGACAAAACTGACCTCAGTCTCTGCCTTTCCAAGACAAAATAGCTGAACTTTAACAAAAGACAACTACTTATTCAAGGTGCAACACTGTCAGACAATGCTTTCTTGAAGTAGGGAACATTTATTTCCTCCTTTTGTCTGAAAGAAGAGGTGAGGTTGAGAATGAACAGCTTCCAACATGACAAGCACAACAAGAAACACTTTAATAAGCATTCACAGAAAAACACTGATAGTTGGAATGCAAGTGGCTTTATTTTCTGCTAGATTCTGATACCCTTAATACAAAAATGTTTTGAGCATCAGACACAGTTAGTTGGTTGTGCCTACATGACTAGTCATGTCTTATCCACAATAGAATCAGGAAAGGGAAACTGAGCTTAAAGACTTGCAAAAAGACTTAGGCTGAAGAAATGCCCAAAACATAGGTCCTTTAGATCAGAAAGTATTGCATTTAGCAGTTCCTCACAGAGGTCTGTGCTTAGAATCATGGAATTGTTTAGGTTGAAAAAGACCTCTAAGATGGTTGAATCTAACTCTTAACTCAGCACTGCTGAGCCCACCACTAGACCACATCCCCGAGTGCCACAGCCACACATTTTTTTGAACACTTCCAGGAATGGCACTTGCACAACTTCCCTGGAGTCTTCTGCTATCAACAAAATGAAAACTGGACTCTGAAATCCATCTGCACCTATTTTCCTGTACTGATAAATGCCTCTGAGGCAAACCACAGCCTATAAAGCTGTTCATTCAAGAAGACAGCAACAACAATTACATTCAATAAGACAATACCAGACAGAAGTAAAGGGCAGGCAAAACTCACATAAAGGTTTTTCTTTGTCAGAAGGAGAACCTCTAACTCCAAAATTAACTTCATATCTCAAGACAGAGATGAAGCAAATTTTATCCAGATCACAAGGCTCTGGAATGCCTAAAAAAATCAATGGCTTAGTTCCTGGAAGCAATCTGGCAACTGGTTCAGAGAAGAAATGCTTCAAATACATGTCACAGCCTTTCCCTATAAATTGCCACTGCAGTCTTTCAAAACTCACAGGTTTGTTGTTTGGTATATGTATCCTGCCTCTACTGGTTTATGCTGTTGAGCTTGACAAAAGAAACCACCGTGAGTTATGAAAAGCAGCATGGCAAGACTGGAAGAGCTCCATTCAGTGGATTTAGCAATAAACTACCTAGGTTCCCCTCTTCCTGTTAATAATATAAGTGTAAAAAAAACAGAGAGAAAGAATGAACAGTAAGACCAGCCATTAGGATTTTTTTTCTTTGACATAAACATTTAGCACAGAACAGCAACAACAATCAGCCTAGGCAAACTAGGGCCATGAAGCAATATTTTTTATCTATTTGCAAAAATAGGTAAAGTTTTGTTGAACAAAACTTGCACATGATCCAATTTCACTGGTTTTAAGGATGAGCATAGACAATCACTTAGCACAAAGAAAAATAAAATGAAATTAATGAAGTTTCCTATTAAAAAATAACGACTACTCACTTTTGTCACCATAACCACCACAAAGTTCTTCTCATCTATTTTGTATTCTTTAAGAGCAGTCTCATCATTAAGGATTTTACCTGGCAAATTAAAGACAGAAATAAAGAAGTTACTTAGCAGATCAACAGATAATCTTGGGATTTCCTCATAAAAACAATTCCAAAGACCCCATGAAAACATGTTTTATGCAGATTTATAAACATTAAATAATCCTACAAAATGTGTTTTGGCTATTAACCTTTGGCAGTGGAGCTACAATTTTCTTCCTGTGATGTCCTAATCAGCTGTACTAATCAGCTTGAAGGCTGTTGCCCTAAGTGTTGAAGATGCTTCAGAACATTTAAAATAGAAGTGTTAAATCTCGTAAAATTTACTGGACCCTTAACACAGATAAAAGTAATGTAGAAGAAAGGCCACAGCATATAAAAAACTTGATTGAATAACTTATGTCTGCTTACACACTCAAGTAACAGTAAGAAAATTCCTTTCTGCTTATCTTCTGTTTGGCCTTCAGAACATTACCCACCTGCAATAAACAAATTTGACCTTGCAACTTTAACAATTTGCTCTTAAAAGAAGGGTAAAACATTAGAAAAAGCTGGAACCATTCCATAACTTGCTACCTTGCCAGAAGGATAAAAAAGCCATCAGACAAACCCAGAAACATTTGTTATCCTAGCACTTGTAATGTTTCACAAGCAGAGATGATACTGTGACAAAGCAGATTTGCATCATGTCTACAACAACCCAGAAAGACACTAAGCCATGTGCTTTTTTGCCTTTTTTTTTCAGGATAAGCTGGTTTAGAGGCAGTACCACAAATCAGAAAAAGTGTTTCTGCAAGATATATAGCACCTGCTTCTACTACAGAATTTTCAGGAAATATTTTACAATTTAAATTGATTCATTTTCTGAAGATGTGCCACAGAGCACTTCTCTACTTCAGGAGGAAAATACACATTTTCATAACCTTTCTCAATGATGGTGGAACACACCCTTTGGCTATAACTAGCAGGTTACACCCTTATCCTGATGATTGCAAGGAAATCAAGCAATACATACAAATTATGGCACCCGGAATACAAAAGAGGTGGTGGCACTGTCCTACTCCCTACTGGTTCCACCAGTCCTGCATAGTCAAAGATGCAAGGAAGTATTACATGTACTGCAGTTACAGCAACACCTGTAGCATCTGACTCACAACTAGACAGGTTTACTTGCAGATTTCTGGTTTACAGGCATTTTGGGGAAGGCTTCCATAAATGTATGTGTGTGTATCTATCTATATGTGTCTGTGTGTATAATATATTTTTATATATATATTAAATATATATAAGCATCCTCAGGGTTTCTAGACTTTACCCTAATACAGAGGACAACACAACAGATCTGCCTCTCTAATCAGGTCCACTTGGGGTATCACTTTGCTTTACCAAACTGTGAAAGTTCATAGGCCATTTTAACAAAAGTAAAAATGTCATCAATATACCCTTGTAACTCCTGTCCAGGGAAAAAGAATTACAATCAATCTTTGGGTAGGCTTCTATTCTACATCTTACTTCCTGTATGTCCTACTTGTGAGGATTATATAATACTGCAAATACATTCTGGCTTTAGAAAACACTCATGTCATACAATCTTATACAGCCCTTGATTTTTGCAATTACAGAAACAAAATATTAAGAGTGTTATACATATTTCACAAAGCCTTCTGCCCTGTTCACATTTCTTGATTATACATGCAACTTCTACCTTCATGTTCTTGGCACGCATTCCCTTCACTGAAGTGTAAGGGACATAAAACTTGCTCAGAAACATAGTCCTGAAGAGCTGTACAGAGACAACTTCTCTGCCATTATCCTCTCTCTCTACTGAAATTAGTGACTTTACCTTATTAGAAGTAGAAAAACAACACTGGTTACAAAGCAGTACATTCAGGAGGTGAAAAGAACAGCAAAGCTTCTTTCAAGCTTGGTTTTAGAAGAAAAAATCACTAGGGGGAGCACTGGAATAGAATTTAAGTTCTGATATGAAGTGAGAAAAAAAATGGATTTCTGTATAACTGGCAGAATGAATAAACCAGGTCAATTAAAGGTCAAATAAAGTTAATTTCATGTGGGTTTTTTTTTTCTGACATTAGCCTGCTTTTTCCTAGTAAATAATACTCATTTGTAGTGACAGAGCTTAAGAGTAATGGAAGTACCTTTGTACAGCAATGATTTGGTGGTGAGTTTCTTCTGTTAATCCGAAAGAAATAATCTGATTTTTAATTCTCTGAGGTATATACAGAAATGCTTCAGCTATACACATCATAAATTGAACAAAATGAAAGAATTAATCCAGAACAGGTGATTTGATCTACTTAAATCCTGATTTCCTGTAACAAAAGTTATTTCTTCTTCACCAAGCTTACCCCCAAGACATCATGCTATACAAGCAAAGATAACAGACACACATGTAATAAAATCTGAAAAATTCTAATTCAAAATTAAGAGTGCACTTTGACAATGAGTTTACTTTTGTGTTTGTGGGGTTTTTTAACCTGTCTACATTTCAATTCTTATAACCTTTAGTAGACTTAACATTCACATCAAAGACAAAGAACTACATAAAATAAGGCAGATCCATATAACGTATTTTCAGAATATCCATTACCTGCATAAATTAGTTTTTGGCCAGCTATTGGAAAGGCATCTTTTCCTCTTTCTGATTCAATCTTCTCTTTCAGTGCCTTTACCTAGAGCACAAAAACAGTCTTAATGAAAAAGAAAAAAAAAGATCACAATTCAAATCTAATTCAGTATACTTTAAGTTTTAAATACTAAAGAATAGTTTCAGTCATATCTCGATTAAGTATCAACCTTCCAAGGAAGGTAACCACTTGTAGAGCAATATGTTCCCTTGTCAAATAATCTCCTGCACTTAATCAAATTAGATAAATAATTTCTCCATGAGAAGTTTCTAGTACAAGTGTACAATAAAATGAAAAAATAAATTGAAAAATTTGGGGATAAAAATATTTTCATCTGCTGACCCATTTGCCCTGTTCTTTCTCTGCATTCAGGAGGGACACAGGCTATACACAGCTGAAGGTTTTCATCATCTTAATATTCTCTTCCAAGAATGCTTTTCTTTTTGGTAAAATCACCATGACATTCAACCTTGAAGTCTCAATATGCAAAGACTTGTGCAAATTGCTCAGCCGCTCATCTTACATAAGTAGTTTCCAGCTCTTCCCCCTCCACTGTAATTTCTGGAGCTTTTGCACAGCAATTTTAAGCCTACACGTTTACTTGCTTACAGGGGCCACTGATGTATCAGCCACACTTTCACAGCATCACATTCAGGAGCTCAAATGACACTGTTGTCACTGTGTCAGAACACTCTTATTCTCCTGAAAGACTCCACAGTGCTGTCCTGAGGAGATAAACAATGTTCCTGCAGAAGCATTCCTGCACTAACACATCTGAAATCATGTTTTAAGACAAACTGCCTGTATGTACAGTCATTCTTCTTGCTTTCTTATGGACTCTCCAATACACATAAAACAAAGACAACCAATCTGTTATGAACTTATTGCTACAAGCTAACACCATCTTCTAAAGGGTTTTTTTCCCCTGAATATTCAAAAAACCGTATTCATAAAACTCTGCAAAGATACAGAGCACAACTTATTGCTTCCCTCTGTGCAACTACACCAAAACAGGAAGCCAACTCTTCTTCCTCAGCAGTTGAAGGAAGGATGCTTTTGGTATTTGTATCATACATGCCATCCCAGCACTTACCAAGTACTTAGGAATCAGTCTCCAACCAGGCAGTTGCTTTTCCATAGGAAAACTAAAAACAGCTCACTGCCATCCCTAAGTCCTGAGGACAGTCAAACCATAACTTGTTTTAATAATGATTTGCTGAAAGCATCATCATTCTCATGCACTTACTTTACAGAATTCTGTCCTATCCCTGGATTTAAGTTTATTTTTAAAGTGTATTTCCTTGAAAACTAAAAATATAATTTGTTAATTCCTCCCCAATTACTAAGGATGGAAGTCACTCACCTTATACTGAATAGTTTCCTTAGGCCATGGATAAGCCATCAAGGAGTTTTTCCTGAGCTTTCAACTATTACATACTTCAGGCAATTCCAGTTAAATGTCCTGCATGCCCTAGGGCAAATTAATTCCCTCAATCATGTTAAAAGCCAGTTATGTTTTCAAATGCCTGGTTTTTAACACTCTGCTTACCTATTCTTATATTTATGCACTTGTATCAATCACTCAAAGATAATGTCTCAAAGCTACTTCTTTTATACCCCATTACCATATTTGTCATAGATCTATAACAAATATAACATGACAAAGAAGTATAATCTATTTTCAGGAAGAAATTAAGGCTTGTTTCATGTCCACTGCATCAATCAAGCTACTGGTTTCAAATTTCTACTTTGTTTGAGTTCTATTCCACACTATAGCCTTTTACCTATGGGGAACAAAACCAAGATCTGTCCTCTCAAACAATGTCTGAACAGCTAACTGTGATAGGTCAGGACACGCTAAATACAAGTTAATTACTATACGATAACTGGATCCACAAGAAGGAGTTCAGATATTTACTGTAGTAAAATATTGACAGTAATTTTCCAACAATTCCATTTGCCTTTGCTGTCCACCTCATGTGCAGTGCTTCCCCTTACTATGATGTGGTTGATGTACTCCAAGTGACCTGGGGCACTGTCCTCTTCCAAAACCTTCTGTGAAAGTCTGTGACAAATGACAGGGCTACGCTTTCATCCCTTTTGGCAGGTGGCACTCCTCTCCAGACATAGGCAAACTTCCATTTACACTATGGAGCCAAGGGAATTGAGAAAATAAGTGTGTTCATTATGACAGTGGTTGAACAAGAAGCAGTATTCACAGAACCGCAGGATAGTTTGGGTTGGAAGGGACCTGTAAAGATCCCCCAGTCCAACCCCCATGCAACGAGCAGAGATATCTTCAACTAGATCAGGTTGATCCAAGCCCCATCCAACCTGGCCTTGAATACTTCCAGAGACAGGGCATCCACAGCTACTCCAGTGTTTCACCACCCTCACTGTACAAAATTTCTTCCTCACATCTAGTCTAAATCTACCCTCTTTTAGTTTAAAACTATTATCTCCTGCCCCATCATAAGAGGCCTGCTCCAAAGTCTGTTTCCATCTTTCTTATATCACAGAACACAGAATATTCTGAGTTGCAAGGGACCCACAGGGATCATGGACTGTTAAGTCAATGGCCCATAAGCCCCCTTTAGGTACTGGAAGGTGTTCTGAGGTCTTCCCAAAGGCTTTTTTTCTCCAGGGTGAACAACGCCAGCTCTCTCAGCCTGCCTCCATAGGACAGGTGCTCCAGCACTCTGACCTTCTTTGTGGCCTCCCCTGGACCAGCTCTAACATATCCTTCATGTGCTGAGGACCATCAAGAGCATGAACCCTCAGCTTCCACAGAATTACACCTGGGAAAACTAACTCAGCATCCACAAGCAGACTCAGCCTCGTGGACAACCTGTGTGTCTGAACCACCTTCATTAGTATTTAAATAGATGCTCCATTTTCAATGGGAAATTTAAAAAAAAGAATTAAAGCCCTCTCAGTGCTCTTCAGAAAGACTGCTGCATCTTCCAGCTGCTGGTGCAGTGAGCTGTTGAAAAAAGCCACATCCTAAACTTTGTCACTAGCAAATTGGGTTGCTGAGAATCTAGACCTCAGCATAGCCATTGGTTCACAGCTATTAGGGGAAAATTAATTTTGTGAAAGCACACCCAGCACACTGATCTGTCAAACTGAGAAAGCAGGTTTAAAATATACAGTCAACTTCTGTATCCACAGATATGATGTATTTTTCTCATAAATACAGATCCATAAAAAAATCCTTCAGGCTACCTAGCCTTATTCAATCTGATCAGAGTTCAAAATGTATTTCAGTCCTCAGTGAATCCCATTTTTCTTCTGCCCCAATAAATTTCACAGCATCTCAAAGGGAGCCCGTACTTTATGGTAGTACCTTTAAGAATGAGCATCAATTCATCTACAAACACTTACTCTAAAGACTCAGAAACATCACACTTACAAGACAAGGTGATCTTCCTCTGTCCTCTATGAATTTAGATGCAAAACTCTCCCTGCTATTCAGACTGAACTCCATGTCCTCAAGAATATATGCCATGTAATTAAAAGTTAGAGCTGATCAATTCCAACCTGAAAAACTGGGGTCCTCCGAAGAAATAACAGTTCCTAACTGCATCAGCTAGGCATCCTAAAAATGTGTTTCACAAAATCACCAGTGCTAAGTTGCCCAGTTGTTCCCCGCAGTTAATTTTCTCCAGATAAGCTTGGGTTCCATCTAGACAAGCAGTTCCCTTTGAGCAAACACCCTCCCTTTCCTCTCACACACCAGTTTTCATTTCTCCTACCTCATGCATATGCTTACACAAAAGAGGTAAAAATAATCAGTTTATTCAAAGACACATTTCAAAAATCCTAATGAAAAAGTGAACAGTATACTTTCATCAATTTTAATTTATATTTTACACAGGCTATACTACACAGGCAAGATAAACTGCTGTATTCCTCAAGATCTACAGAGAAACTGAAAACAAAACTGAAAAGGATCTCTTATGACATCAAGCCACAAAGCAACCTTCCACACCACAAGCTTCATCAGGAATTTGATCCACCTGAAGACCTGTGAGGTTGTTTGCTACTTCTATCACAAGGCTGCTACAAAGTTTATTCTGATGTTGGAAGCCCTTTCCTAATTTCCAGCCCAAATTAATTCATATATTATTAATACTCATTTGTTCTTGGGCTGATGTTACAATTCAAGAAGGTATAGCCTTCCCACCTCCCATGGTGCTTACCGGTGTAAAACATTTATGCAACACTACCAAAACTTGTGAGTTAAGCTAGGCAAGAGCCCTTTAGCCTCCTTTCATGTGAGTCCCAGTTTTCCCACAGGCTCCAGGCATCCCTTTTTTTTCCACCTGCTCTGGTGGAAATTCATTCCCCTTGGGAACAGGTGGCTAGCACACACGTAGCAGAGTAGCATCACTACAGGATCTGTGATCTTCAGGGCTTGACCTTTGAGTAAACCTGACTCAATTAGTCTATGCTGCTCATTTGAAAGTCATTTTTAAAGTCTGACCTCCAATCAGGAAGCCAGGTACTAACATCAAACTTTGTTTTCTTCAGTTCCATCACACTTCTATTGATTTGTACTCAAATTCTTATCAAGTGAATAAAAGGACTATGAAGAGATGGATTACAAGACCAACTCTGGAGGACTCCCACTAAACTGTTTCCCTTTACAAAGAAACAGTTTTTAATCTACCTTATAATTCTCTGCCATTCTTCATCTTTTTCTATAATAGACTAACTGGTTTCTCCCAGACTGTGGGGAAAGACATGGTTAGACAAGGACAAAAAGCTTTCAGTCCAAAAGGCTTTGCTCTCCCCCTTCTCCCTGAGGGAGGATACAATAGTCCAAACACTTCTGCTTAGAATTAAGGCTTAATATTCCTGAGTCTTCCCCTCCCACTGCCCTTGCAAACACATTTTCCACACATTATACTATCATATAGACACTTCTCTAAGTCAGGTGAGGACAGTGCAGCTGTGTCAGACAATAAACCAGCTAATGAAGCAACAAACTGACCAGTGCAATAGGTTTTATTACCCTTAATCAAACTATGTGATCAGCAACT